TCAAATAGTTTTACAAAAGTCAACAAAGCTTGATCCCCGTTTCCATTATGGCATGTTCTCAAATGTAGGGATGATTCATACAACATGAAAAATAAACTGGTTCTACTAGGGACACAATTAGATAATCATGTTAAAAAATCTTCTTGGTGTAAATGCAAATTTATAGGGAATCATAATCATACTAATTTCTCTTTACTTTTTGCTCCTCTTTAGCTTATAGTTGGTTCTCTGCTCAGTCTAATCCTACTGCACGTTTGAATTAGAAAAATGACCCCTATCTGGCTCGATTGCCCGTAAATTGAGTATGACTGGTCTATAGAGATGGATTGTAAGGCATTTTTTACTATATGACAGACCAATATCAACTGAGTAAAAAGGCCTTACCGCCGTAAATCAAATTATAGAAGCCCGCAACTTATTCGTCTTATAAGATAAGATAAGATGGACCTTTATTCGTAGTCCCCGTTTGAAAAAATTCGGAGAGTTAAAGCAGCCAACCATTTTATGATGTCCAGCACGGTTACTTCTTTCTCAAGGTTTAACGCTGGGTTAACAGCACTTCGAGGATTTCCAACAGCATTATCCCTTCTTTAAGCAAGAGTATTCTCCCCTGCTGAGTAAGCAGCTGTGGTACTGCTGTAAAATCAGTGGGAGAGCACCTATAATTACTTAACACCACACATCAAGTTCACCCACGTGACCCACATTTTTAAGGTTACCAACATCGCTGGGGGGGGGGGGGGGGGGGGGTGGTGATAACTTACATTATTGACAGATATTAAATGCATGTACAAAATCTAGATTAATCTATGGGTACATTTAATAACTTTTGAAGCTTTTCACATACGAAATATAAAATGAAAACATGGTTTGACACTGTAGGACGCAAGTATTGAGAGGGAGGCAGGTTTTCACTCTCACATGTAGAGGTGCTGTGAACTCTCTTGCGTCACACATGTGTCTCAGAATGCAACCGTGGTTGTTCCTTGTGGTCCTGCATTGTAGTCTGACCGTGACGAGTCATACGAGGACAGCTCATACATTTGGTACGAAAATATCTCATTTTATAAATGTCAGGTTCTGGTTCACACGATTGAATGCTAAAAACAAAGGCTTATTTAAAGGTCCCCTATTGTACTGCTTTTTCATCAATATATTGATAAGTTCTCAATAATATCACAAACAATGTCTCTGCAAGTGGTTTGCTCCGAAAATCACAAACAGATCATGCATTGTAGCAATCCCATAAACCTGCTGTTTTAACCCTGTTCTCAAGTGCTGATTCCATCTGTCTGTTTACTCATTAGATTCTTTAGATTGAGAAATAAGGAGCCACTCCCGCACGCCCCGTCTGAGCAGATATTCTGCCTAGGAGGAGATTGGGGTGATAAGGTGGGAGGGTCTTACCTTGGTTGGTTATTGGCTAATGGTTACAAAAGCCAAAAAACTACGTTCTTCGCTCCATAAAGTGATACAAAATCTGATCAGCTAATTTGTGAAGGTTTTTATATAGAATGGAATTCAGGACGATGAAGCAATCATTTTTTCTTGAAACTTCCAGACTCTCTTACACAGAGGGGACCATGTTTATGTACTAAAAAAGGAGGCTGTGGCTCCGTGGGATGAATACCACTGAATTAGGTGCTGAAACTTTGAATCAGGGGATAGCAAGTTTGAGTCCCACTGCAGTCAGCATGTCGGTTGTGTCCCTGGCAAGGACACTCACTCCCAAATTGCTCCTGTGGGATTGCCCACATATCATGTTGCAGTAAAATTTGAAGAAGTATCAACTGCCCCTGCTGAGGAATGTCTTGATTATGGGAAACCTATGAGAACACATGGGGATGCTCACTGCCTTCACCCCCCCTATTCACCTTTGAGGATACTCTTCCTTCACTCCCCGACGCTCTCTTACTCTCACGTTTCAGCCATTTTCCACCCTCGCCCAACCCTCCTGGAGTTTCGACCACATGAAGAGATAAAGAGGGTTGGCATCGAGTCATTCCTTGGAAGATCAATGACTGCCATGAGGCGATACACAGGTGGCATGAATGTCCTCTACAGCCGCCCCTCACAACGCCCACCAAAATCACCGAAGCAGAGACGCACGACCATCTCCCCATCTTCATCACCATGCGCTACGTCAACTCAACCTTCCCGCCCCTTCAGCATCTCAGTCTCCGAAGTCCTGATTAAGAATGTGTGTATACAAAATGCAGCAACTCTAACTGATTTGCTGGTCCAGGCCCAAGGGCGTATGGCACTCTCAACTCTTGAGGGACAAAGCCGGGTCCCTGCTGCATACTTTGCCAGATATCTGTGTTGATTACGGTAATAGATTGAGAGCGGTGGAATCAGCCTTTAGAAACAGGAAGTGCTCAACGTTGTGTGAGCTGTGTATTGTGTGTATTGACATTGACTTGTTCAATTGTTGTGATTTTAACATCCATGTTGAAACCCAGACGAGGGGGCTAAATAACTGTTTTGTGTTCTTGGATAACTATGACTGACTCAGCATGTGGACGGAGCCCACCACAATAAGGACACTCTGGACTTAATTATCTGCAGGAAACGGGGTCATGAAATACCTCTCTGAGGTTTGTGACTGATGTGTGCACCTTGATTCCATTTCCTGTGTTTTCTTTGAGAGCTCTATTTCTGGTTCACAATTAATTTTCAAAAAGAGTAACCACAAAGCGATATTTAACTGAAAATGACTAGGGAAATGTTTTACTCGAATTTTTCTTCCATACTTGCCCTCTGCTAACATCTCAGTAATTCAGCTAGTAGATAATTTTAATTCAAAAATGCAAAATGTTATAGATGCATTGCCCCAACTAAGGTAAAGAAGGTGACTGGGAAGAAAATAGTCTCTATGGAGAAAGGCCATGACCGTGAAACAGAAAAAGTAATCGAAAAAGCTTAACAGCAGGGTGGCGAAAATACAAATTCCAGGTTCATTTTGAAATCTATAAAGAGAGACTTGGCTTTTAATAATTTGGAAGTTAAATTGCATCAACATCTTTCTTCTCTGAGATCATGTGCCAAAAACAAAAACAACGCCATGTGTTTGACTGACCGTTGACAGACTAACAAACTCCCCAGTGTCAGTAGCCTCTAATTTCTATCCATCCGCAATGATTTTCCTCCTTCTTCACTGACAAACATTTAGAAAAATGCAGACAAGCAGTCAGTGACCTCATTTAATCAGATACAGCAAAGTTTGTCCCTGTGTCACCTAAAATCATTTAAAACTGACCATGACACAGTTCCATCAGATTAATGATAAAACCTAGAGGACATTATTCAACTCTGAAATCCTGCCTCCTGCGCTGAATATTATTCCAGACAGGATTTTTCAAAGATGTTTTCTTGTGCCATGGTCTAAGATTATTCATATAGTAAACAAGTCCTCTTCACTCAGGGGTTTTTCACAGGCCCCAAAACTGCATCATTAATACGCTCTTAAAAAAGAATAATCTAGATGCTTCAGTAATGAACAATTACAGGCCTATATCAACCTTCCTCATTTCCTAGTAAAATCATTGAAAAAGTAAGTTTTTCAACTGCTGAGTATTTCTGCATTTAATAAATGTTTCGTAGTGTTCCAGTCAGGGCTTTCGTCCAAAGCCACACCCCCGCACTGAGACTGCTCTTGTAAAGTTCTTCATGACATGCCACTTAAACACAGAAAGTGGCAGAACTTCAGTGCTAGTATGTATTAATCTCAGTGCTGGCGGTTTGAACACTGTTGACACAACATATTACAGACCGACTGGAAAACTAGTGATCTAGGAATTAAAAGACATATGTCACTAGCAGGGAATTTGGAAAGAATTTGGTTCCATGGCTTTATCTTCAGTAGATCTGGACTACTGTAATGGGGTGTCTTCACAGGTCTCACTAAAAAATCTATTAGGAAAGGCTGCAGCTGATCAGAACGCCTGCTGCTCGAGTCTCACTAACCACTAAAAAGTGGATCACATCACATCCTGTTCTGAAGTCTGTACACTGCTTCCTGTGTGTCAAAGAAATTATTTCAAAATACGCTGCTGGTTAAGAGGCACCTCATCGCTCTTAGGCCCAAAAATACAATTTCTGAACCTCCTGCTAAATTATGAACCATCCAGATCTCTCAGGTCTTCAGGACTGGTCAGCTGTCCTGTCCCCGAGTCATGAATGAAACATGGTAAAGCAGCAATCCAGTTATAATGCTCCAAATATCTGGAACACACTCCAGAAAACGCTGCGTGTCCGCTGCAACTCTGACTACTTTTTAAATCCAGGCTGAAGGACTTTCTTTTTTGCCGCTGCACTGTAACTTTTATTATCTTTCTTTTAAATTAGTGTTTTTTAAATTCATTTTATATAGTTATCTTAATGTCTTTCATTTTTGTAAAGCACTTTAAATTGCTTGTGTTCGAAATGGGCTATATAAATGAAACTTGCTGTGTCTTTAAATCAAAAGACACACATTATTTGGAACACAGCATGTGGACCTGTTTTCATCCAGTGTGAATAAATAACTTAATTGTCTGTTGTTATCCAACAATGTATTGGTGTTGTGTTTAAGGTGATACAATATTATGACTAAACCTTTTATCTGCCCTTGATCACAGAACAGGTACTACAAGAGAGAGGAATAATCATTCAGTGTAACGGTATCTTTTGAAAGGAATTGGAGATCTGCATATTTTAAACTAAACTTCCCTCGTAAATGTCAGACTTATTCTTTACGCTGTCCAGAGGAAATACTACAGATCCGTTGTTACTTCAGTAAAGTAGAAAGTACTAGAGTGTAGGAATACCTTACACAAGTAAAAGTCCCGCATTCAATTGTTACTCAAGTAAAACTACAAAAGATAATTGGCATTCAATATAGACCAAATTAATATCATTGTGCAGATTTGGCCCATTTAAGGAATCAATTTATAATTATATGGTTGTATAATCATTAATCCACAAAGTAACTAAATGTACACAATAAATTAGTGAGTAAAAGTACACAAGTTACTTCTGAATTTTGTATCAAGTAAAGTAAGCATAACATTGAAATATCAATAAGTAAACGTAAATCGTCAAAATTGACTTAGTACAAGTACTTGAGTAAATGTAAGTTAGCATCTGGACAAAACTCATTTCGAAAAGGAGAGCGATGCCGTTTTGTTCGATAGCTTTCATCTGTCACATATAATTTGGTGTGAACAAATTCATGATCAGCTTGTGTTTAGTACACGGTGCAGCAAATTATTTCTGTTAAATAAATCCTGTGCTTCAGTCATTCATGGTGCTACTGCCCCTCTATCCCAATTTGATTAGTAGAGAAGTCTCTGAAGACACACTTGAGAAAGTGACTGTCTCTGAGCTAAATGTGATCAAGTATTCTGAGCTACAGAGACGATACGTGATCAACTAACAGGTATGGAGTGGAAAGAAGCAAGGTTTATAAGGCTTTTCTTCCACATTGAGACAATGTTTGGTGAGTTGGACCCACACTTGAGCACATATGATGCGCATGTGGGGTTATTGCGTGTTAGACAGATGACGAACAATGGCTTTCAGGCTGCTTATTATCAGTCCAATCACGAGGTGTGATGCTTCCTATTGAGTGATATAAAGAATACTGGCCACCATCACAGACTCGCTACCTGACATGTAGGATCCTCAGGGCCGTCCCTGGCACTTGAGCCTCACGGGGTGGGTGCTAGTAGAGCCTCGAAGCGGCAGAACTCCTAATGCAAGATCGAGACCCCTAACTCCGCGAGGTGAGGCCCGGCCTGCGTTGATCTTCCTGTAAGGGAGGATGGCCCTGGGGGGATCCTGTGTGTGTAGTGCACGAGAGTCAGCATGCAACAGACAGAAGACCGTCATGATGTTCCCCACACTGTTCTCTCTGTGCTTTCAAAGTATCATGTGAGCTCAATTTTCCTTTAACTTTTCAATTTGGTGCATTTTTCCAAGCTCCCATTCCCTAGTTTTATACATTCTCTAAAAAGCGAAAGACAACTCTTAATCTATAATTGTATTAATAGCCTCTTGCTTGCTTTGCTACTTGCCAGCTACCCATCTGTGACCTCTTTTGACTTTGAAACAATGACAAGATTGCAGACAACATCCTGTTCTCTGTCCACAGGAAGGCTGAGGGAAATGATCCGCGCCTACACATGCAAACGGTGGTTAGAATCTGAACCTTCCTCCGCTGCCGTACTACCAACCTCTCTAATGAATGTTGATGTGGGCTGCTATCAACTGTTAATTTAGACAAATAATATAATTTAGTCTTAATATCATTTCCAGTGGGAAATGGAGCTTTTACGTTAAATTAGGTAAATAAGTTAACATTTACTGAACGATGCTACCCGTCATCATAGCAGCATGTGACAGTTTGGCATCATGTTAAGAGCTTGGGAAGGTATAGGGTGATGGAAAGGGCACAAGCCTTTGGCCTAAAGGCTTTTCTGAACTATTGAACATTGTTACTCCGTCTTAAAGGTCACCTATTATGCAAAAATCCCCTTGTTTCAATGTCTTTTATACATAAACATGTGTCGCTCCTGTGTGAAGAGATTCTGAAGTTTCAGGATAAAGATTCGCTTTTTATCCTGATCCATTTATATAAAAACCTGTCTGAAAATGAGCTGATCAGATTTTGGGCACTTTATGATGTCATAATGTTTTTTTGGCTTGTGTAACCGTTAGTCAATAACCAACCAAGATACCCCCCCCCCATCTTATCACCTGAATCTCCCCCTAGAGCACCATTGGGTTCTTTTCAAGCAAATACCTCTCAGAGGGGCGTGGGAAGTGGCTCCTTACTTTCATCTAAAGTAACAGACAGAGAATCAGCACTTTTGGAACAGGGCTGAAACAGAGAGGATTATGGGATGCTACAATGCATGATCTGCTTGGTATTTCAGCCAAACACTTCAGAGACATGTTTTATATATATCTGAGAGCTATAATATATTGATGAAAAACAGTGTAATAGAGGACCTTTAAACAACTGTGCAGGCTTTTTTAAGGTCTTTTGTAAGGAGATAACAAAATTGAGAAAAAAGAGCGTGATTTAAAAAATATGTCTCAATGGCTAAGCCCTACCTAGCAGATGCTGGTTGGTCAGCTGCTATTTCAGTTGTAATTGGGCTCACATGAGCTGCTGGTGGGAGTCATTTCAGTCAACAGGCGCAGCAGTCTTATGTCTGAACTCTGCTCCTTCATAGCAAACTGCCAACCCCTCCCGCCTCCTCCCGCCTCCCAGCTCTCCCCTTTTAGACTCCCCCGTCCTCTCTTGATGAGCTCCCTCCCCTCTCGCTAATGTCATTTCACTTTTCTGTTTTGATTTCGGCCCCGGAGGACCACCACCTGAGTCTATAGGGCTGAAGCTGACATGGCTCCAGAAAAGAACAGTAATGGTCTTGACAACTATGCATTTGCAGTGAGTATTACTTACATTTCACTTTGTTATATCCTATAGAAAAATGTCTTTAAATGCAACACACTTTTAAAGTTCTTAAATGTGTGCTTTTCTACAATAGTGTAAAAATATTAACGTATAGGCTCAGATCAAGGTTAGGTTTTTTTCCTTTTATATGAGTGAATGTGAACACATCTGCAAGTAACAACTAGAGATGTATCTCTCCTCTTATCACTGAACTGGATAATCCACGTGGTGTGATGTTTAATACCACATTAGAAACTACTTTTTGTTTTATCAGTTAATAATTAACAACAGAAAGAGCAGCTAGCAAAGTAGCGTCATGGAGACATGTGAATGTACTTGTTTACATTCTTGCGCCTCCATGCTTAAAATCACATTATTGAAGAGATAAGTGACATGCTGTTTAGTCAGACAAACAGTAGTGTTGAGTCTCAATCTTGTATTGTTTTCAAAGCGATTACACTTTTTTGAAAATAAAGACATAATAGCTCATCTGACTCTAGCGTGTTGTTTTATAATCCTACTTTATCTTGGATGAAAGAAGGAAAATCAATTTGTAGTGCAAGTCATGAGCTAACCACATTCCCTTGCTGGGAATTATAAGTCTATGAATGTCCTATAGTTATGTGACTATTAAAGCATTTTCTTTTTTGTAATATTGTTTTCAAGTTTGTCAAAGTTACAGATTTCCACAATGAAAAACAAAGATGTGCCTCCATGATTTCATATATATCTCTAATCACCCTTCATCTGTGTCTCTATCCGTCAAATTAAAGCGTGAAGGGCGCTTTTGTGATCTACCGGACACACAACATGGAGAAGAATTGGACATGTCCATGGAGTCAGACAACAACAAGCTAGTATACTGCGTAACAGATGTGCCTCCCTGGTACCTGTGCATCATCCTCGGCATCCAGGTACGTCAGCAAAGGGTGATGTTTGACAACGAATCTCTTCCGCCATTTCCTGCCTAAAAGCCTATGTAGGCTAGCTTGTGTTGTTACAATGCAAACATGACCACAGTGTCCCATGAGAGCTTCCGTTGGACGCTACCTTCATGGTTGGTTAGACTTGGTTTTATTTATGTACTGTATGTCTGATTGTAAAATTTGCTTCAGATACAGTTGGGATGGTAAAGTCAGTGAGAATTGGTTGTATGTATTTAACAGCTAAGATCAGTGAGTGTTTCCTCTGAAGACCTCACTCAGTTGTATTGCTCCATTTAAACTTTTTCCTTTCTATATTAACTGCTATTATCTCTTTCACGGCATAAATCACGGGTCCTTCCAAGTGTACCCCAGAGACTTGTTACTTATAGGGATGAACTGATACTGATATCAGGCCAATACTGACTCAAATAGCTTGGTTGGTTTAGAAGCAATTGATAATTTCTACTATGCACATACATAAATAAGAATTCAACCAATCTATTGCTGCATTAAAACATCTATTGAAAAATAATTCCTTTTTTATTTTGTAGATCATTATCCAAGTTTCTAGTGTTTAGTAATACATAACCTCATTACAACTTGTTGAGAAAACAACTTTTAAGTCAAGCCTGATGAGGCCTAAAACAAGTTCATGAAGTAAATCCTGGTATCATATTGGCACTTCATATTTTCCCAAAAATCCTGATTGACGCAGCCCTTCTACTAACATTTTGTTTGGATGCAGGTTGAGCCACTACTTTAGGCTGATTGTTTTCCCAGAGGTCACACAACATTTAGTTAATTCCTCCCTCTGTACCTCAAACATAAATGTAGCTGATCTTTTTCTCTGTCTATGTTCCCTCAGCACTGTTTGACGGCGTTTGGAGGAATCATCGCCATTCCGTTAATCCTGTCTCAGGGGTTGTGTCTGCAGTTTGATGGCATCACACAGAGCCACCTTATCAGCACCATCTTCTTTATCTCCGGTGTTTGCACTCTGTTGCAAGTTACCTTCGGCATCAGGTAAGGCAGTCAATTAAAATAAGTTAAAGAGCAATGTTTATTTATTCTGATGATTACCATTTACATTTATCTTTAACATGTATCACTGGCTGGATTTTTCAGTTCACTGCTCTTTTCCATGCTTTGTTGGTCCATGTTTTAAATCCAGCAGTGCAGCATGGTGCATTAAAGTGGAATTAGTCATGCTGCTCCTTCTTATTAAACCAGCAGAACAATCCTTCCTTCTTAACCTCTGTTAAACTGCAGGCCTTCTGAAGCCCTAACCATGAACAACACAATACTTTACTCTGTAATTGGGCACAGCTTTTATTTAAGGGATTACCAGAGAGAAAGTACAGCTTTACCTTAAGATCCTTACAAATGGTAAGGTATTTTTAGGTGTGAAAACATAAATAAAAAATGAAATGGAAAAGTACCCTCAGTAGAATGCAGATCCCTGCCAAAATTGACTTCCTCTCCTAAACAAAGAAGAGTGAATTGGCCTATGTATCCAGATCTCTTAATGTTGCTCTCAAAGTGCACCAGATTGATGCTTTTAACTTCAATATTTTAAAACAAATCTTCCCGGGGGAGCATGCCCCCGGACCCCCCTTGAGGAGGTGAGGACCTCCCTAGAGGATGTTAGGTCCACCCACTTTACCCCTGCCTACACTTATATGCTGTGAGCTGATTATCGAGCCTTCATTGTAACAGTCGTGGGTACATTGTGTGTGTGTGTGTGTGGGGAACGTTGCGGTAGAAAATTTCACTGTAGCCCGGTACCTTAATGGGAAACCCTACATGTTTGAGCACCCTCTATGAAACGTCAAGCTACCCCACAGCACCCCAAAAAGAAAATCTCTGGCGCCGCCACTGTGGGCTAAACCCCGAATGTTTCCAGGTCCAGGAAACGCCCTTGGTGAATTGTCCATCACAGTTTACTTACAAAGATGTAGCAACTTAACTTTATACATTTTCATCCACAACACAGGCCAAAAGGTGGCCTGCAAGAGACTAGGTAAGGTGTGTTTTTAGTCTAGCCTGTTTCCAATAATGCCTTTTGCCCAGAAAAAATTGTTGGTCACTCGCAGGCCCTGACCACCAATAAACAGTTCAAAGAATACGTATTTTAAAAAATGGTAAATTAATGCAAACACTTAAGGTCTTTGAGCACACAGTGATAATGAGCACAATAACTATAAGACGAATGGGTCAAGCATTGTGTAAAATAATCTGTGAACAGACAGATACACCCATGCAGACACACACACGCATGACCAAACACATACCCTTACATATTAAAATACCCTTTTTGTACAATAAATGTTACTTAATAGTGTAATCATGCCACAGCATTTATATTTAGGTACCAAACAATACTACAAAGTTATATTTTCTGATAAAATACAATGCAATACAATATAAATTGACTACATTTAATACAATTGAATGCAGTAGGAGCTGGACTTCTCCTCTGTTGCATGCTGCAGAGTTTGTTTTGGAGAACGACAAACTTCAACCAGTTCCGATGCTCTGACTTTCACTATGTTTGTGCAGACTGGCTGAATATCGGTGTCGCAGTAGGATTAGGGCAGGAATTTCCATCTTATTATGTTTGGAATCTAGCTCTTGCTAAATCCACATTCTTCTGGCTTAGAACCACTGATGCTTTCTTGTATTTCCCAAATACCTGGAGGTTGGCTGTGAAGAAAGGAAGCAGTATGTTTAAAGGTTCCTAGAGAAGCTAATTATTTATGTCCCTCAAGATGAAACATTATAAACTCTAATCAAACAATATTTGCTAGCTGTGTTTCTTAAATATTCCCATGAGTTAAACATGTTATGCGTGCTAACTGTGACCTACTGTGAGAATCAGCCATTTTAGCAGTAAAATAAACTGGAACATACAGACATTACATGTTACTTGTTAGACGCTTTTATCCAAAGCGACTTTCATATTCTATACTGTGAGCAATCCCCACAGGAGCAATTTGGGGTGAAGTGTCTTGCCCAGGGACACAACAACATGTTGACTGCAGTGGGGTTTGAACCTGTGACCCCCTGATCCGAACACCAACTCACAACCCACTGCACCACACGCCCCCTTGTCAGACTAAAATACAATAGATCTGTCTGGCTACTTGTGGTTTCATTCATCCTGATGTCTTTGAATCTCTGCCATTTCCAGACTGCCCATACTTCAAGGTGGGACCTTCACATTGCTGGCACCGTCCATGGCAATGCTGTCCATGCCGGAGTGGCAGTGCCCTGCTTGGACCCAAAATGCCAGCCTGGTCAACACCTCCTCCATAGAATTCACTGAAGTATGGCAGACTCGAATGAGAGCAGTAAGTGAACCATCATAAACACAACTCACTTTGTTTCACATGTAAAGGGCTTCTGGCAAGTGTTGAACATGAATGGTGTTGTACTAAAAACTAGAGCCACAACCTGTCTTATTCTTTTATCTTTTCTTTTTTGTTTTGCTGAACTATGAAAACACTCGCAAAATATGCAAACCGAGTTCACAGATAGCGATATACTGTAAGAACTTAATTCAACACCTCTAAACCAGATAAAGAAAACATCTTTCATATAACTTAAAGAGATACTAAGCAATTGTTTTGGTATAACCGGCAGTGTTACAGTACGTGTCATGTGACCACTGTGAATGATCTGATTAATAAATGTAAATTACGCTTTATTTGTGTTTACATTTTTGTCTGGATTTAACAGCTAGCACCTCAACAGACTATCCGATATGCTCCAGGCGCTGTGGGCTTTGGAAGCAGTCCATGAGTTGTTCCTCCCCCATTACCAGTCAAAAATCCCCCATCAGAGACTTATAGACCAAAATAAAAAACATTCAAAGAAAAAATATATTGTTAATACAGGTGATGATCTTAGAAAAATGTCCTGGTCCTAAATGTGTTATTGTTTTTCTCAACACCCATCTTGTAACCCTATTAAATTATGTTGCAACCCCATGGGGTCTACATTGTTTTAACATTTAAATATGATTAGATATGAGAACTCACTCAGATGTTGCCGCATATAATTTTTTTTCAGACTTTCTAGTTCAAGTTCTAAGGTTAAGTATCTCTCAAAATAGTTTTTGGAATGACCAGCAATAGAAAAATATTATAATATAGTCATTTTAACTTTTCTGTGTGAAAGTGAAACGTTAAGAAAATACTTAATAATAAGGCATTGTTTTAAGGACTGTCCTGTGGAAATGAAATTATGTGTGGAATAAATAATTTGTTGTGTCAGTTAATGTTGGCTTTGCTAGGACAAATGCTCATTGTTTGGACAAAACCCCCAAGCACAAGTCTTTGTTAAAATTCTGTTTAACAGTAATATTATGTGTGCACGTCTCATGCCAGCTCCAACCCTTGACCCTTGCAAAATGCTGATGTCGTCTTTCTTGTCTGTCCTCAGCTGCAGGGGTCCATTATGGTGGGCTCACTGTTCCAGGTGTTTGTAGGTTTCTCCGGCCTCATCGGCCTCTTCATGCGCTTCATTGGACCTCTGACCATCGCTCCCACCATCTCTCTCATTGGACTGTCCCTGTTTGACTCAGCTGGTACCAGTGCTGGCAACCACTGGGGCATCTCTACTATGTAGGTACAATTAAACAAATACATTTTTTAAAAAAAGGGTCTTTCTGCTACAGTAAAAGTAAAAAGTGATCTATGTAATCTGAAATTCTATATTTTTTTCTAATTACTGTTCTGATTATCTTGCATTTAAGATATATGTTGTCAGTTTAGTAAAGTTAGTTCTTGGCTTAATGGGGTTTATGTGATTGTAATGCATTCATACCAGTCTATATGTATGTTAAACTTGCTTCCTCCCCTGCATAGAGCACAGGGTATTACAAAATATTATGTCTTAATCTCTTGGCACACCAATAAAGCCTATTAAATAAATCCTTCCCAAAGAACCTGCTTAGTTGTTGCTGTACTTTGCTTTTTTGGTTAGAACTTAGCAACAACCTAGTTCAGTTCTGTATTATTAAACAATGTTAAATACTAATGTTTTTGTTCTTGTCTCACACAGGACCATAGCACTGATCATCCTGTTCTCACAGTACCTCCGTCACATACCTGTGCCATTCCCTACGTACAGCAAGGAGAAAAAACTGCACACGTCCAATGTCTACGTCTTTCAGATTCTCCCTGTAGGTATAAAACACGTTCATTGAGATACATGAAGAAAACTGTTAGTTTAGTCTTTAGACCTTATCTATTTTTGATTGTGTCCTCAGGTTCTTCTTGGAATCACTTTGTCTTGGCTCATCTGCTACATTTTAACAACCTACAATGCGCTTCCTAGTAAAACAAGCCAATATGGCTACCTGGCCCGCACTGATCTAAAGGGAGATGTTATCAGCCAAGCTCCCTGGTTTCGTTTTCCTTACCCAGGTAAAAGCCACCATATAGCCAACTATTGCCTGAAGTTACTTTTTGTTAATTAAAAGTTACTGGAAAATGAAAGGGTTGCAGGCTCTTAACACATTGTGTTGATCTCTATTTCCTTATGTTTGAATCCAAACATAGGTCAGTGGGGGATGCCGACTGTGAGTCTGGCGGGGGTGATTGGCATCTTGGCCGGTGTGATTTCCTCCATGATAGAGTCTGTAGGGGACTACCACGCATGTGCCAGGCTCTCTGGGGCGCCACCTCCCCCTAAACATGCTATCAACAGGGGTATTGGCATTGAGGGACTGGGCTGTCTGTTGGCTGGAGCCTGGGGTACAGGAAATGGAACCACTTCATACAGCGAGAATGTTGGAGCCCTTGGTATTACAAAGGTAAGACCATAATGAGTATTTCTGGAAGTTCTTTAAAGAAAATGGCTCACTTGTAGTCTAGAAGGCCAAAGCCAAATGCTTTGTTTTCCAATTTTAACCAAAGTTGAAATCATTTCTTTATCTGTCCCACGGAGTTTTGGTGGCCAATGCAACAGACTACCAACACATTTCTCAAAAATACTGTAGGGCCAGAAGTGTTTCTGTAATCCTGCTGACAAACAAGCAATCAAACGTATATATATATGTAACAGTTGACGGTTTCAAGAGAAGACGTTTATATATTTGCAGGTTGGCAGTCGCATGGTTATTGTAGCCAGTGGAGTCCTGATGGTTGTCATGGGTTTGTTTGGTAAAGTGGGCGCCATATTCACTACGATCCCATCCCCTGTGGTAGGAGGGATGTTCATGGTTATGTTTGGCGTCATCTCTGCAGCAGGAGTTTCTAATCTGCAGGTACTCGTTCTAAAACATCATGGTGGCAATTTTGTATTGTACATACATTGTCCTAGATATTGCATGACAATATATTCCTCTAATGTTTTTTTATTTTTACATATTTTCAGTATGCAGATATGAATTCTTCTCGAAACATCTTCATTTTTGGATTCTCCATGTTCTCGGGTCTGGTCATTCCTAACTGGATATTCAAGAACCCCACAGCCATTGCTACAGGTACATTAATAACATGTCATTATTCAATCTGCATTTTTCAGAAACAGCATCATAATATGGTTTTACTCAATCAATTTCCATTGTATTGTGTTTAGGTGTTGTTGAACTCGACCAGGTCTTGCAGGTTCTTCTGACAACCAGCATGTTTGTTGGAGGTTTCTTTGGATTCATGCTGGACAACACAATTCCAGGTACTTTTGTTCAATTTCATTACATTATTAAACCCAGGAATAACCCAGTAAGTTATTGGTGTCTGGAGACATGATTATCAAATAGCTTGGGTTAGATTTAAAACAGGCTCACAACAGGGAGACATTCACCATTAAAATATGGCTTTTTTATAGTTTAAAGAGATTAAACAAATAAGCGTCAATAAACATCTTTATTTGATATACTTACGGCCTGAAGCCATTGGGTTCAGTAGTTTTAGGAATATAATTTGAGACTGAATTTGAGTTCTAACATTTTTCTAAAATGACTGTTTTTACCGTAAGTTTAAACTTAAGCATTTCCAAGCTTTATTAGAATACAACCAAGCTATGTCAGAGAATAACACAAGTAAGCAATCTCATTCCTTCAGTAGACCGTGATAGAAGGGTTTAACACATTTAACACGTGTCCAACAGGATCAAAGCATGAACGAGGCATCCTGGCGTGGAACAAGGCTCACGAGGATGAATCCAGCAACACACTGGAGAGCGGAGAGGTCTACAACCTTCCCTTTGGCATCAGCTCTTACTTGTCTTCTTCCTCCTGGATCCGGTACATACCCTTCTGCCCTCCGAGTGAGCCACACTCCCTGGACGGAAGTGGAGCAGATACTAATGCCCTGGAGCCTAAGCAGCCACTTGGACATGCAGAGCCTTCACAGATTATTATTGGAGTTGCCATGTGAGTCCTGTACTCACTTCAGCATGCATCCAGAAAACCATCAGAGGCAGCTCAGTTTGGACATCCTGTCCTTTGTTAAAGACACTGTACTGTGACAACATGGTGGAATTCCACATGAGCTTTGAAGTGACATTTGCGAATGGCAATTGCATGAAATTGGATACTATGTGGACTTTCTTTAGGGAGGAATTTAGGTACATGAGGTTAGTTTTATTAGATATCTTTATTAATTGTTTGTGTTAAAAAGTTATGATATTATACACTGGATAACATATATATCATCTTGAAGACATTTTCTGTACAGTCATTTCATTTGTACTCACAGATCATACCACTGGAGTGTGAACAATGATTTCTTGTTTCGATTTCTATGGTCTTCTCAGTCTTAGAATGCACTCACAGCCAGGTGTTAGTGAACAAACACTGAAAAGACATATGAATATAAGTAGATCCATTGTATTGCTTTCAGCATTTGAATTCATCTGTATATACATCATGTTTGAATTAACTTTTATGTGACAGTAAATTAATTATTATTTACTTAATTGTATCATTATCTTACCATCAACCAGTATATTTTTACAGGTTTCTCTATCAGTCTCCTGCTAGAACACAAGATAGTTCCAAAGCACATACCAGGCATATCCACTGATCTCCATGGATATTTATTTAACATGAATTGAACCATTGTGAAGCAAAATCATTATCCGTTCAGTTTGTCACTGTCAGATCCTGCTTGATTGCTTTGTACAAACTAACAAAAGAATCGGCCCATAAGCCTTGTTGGTGTTCAGTACTGGAATTAGCCATCCCCTGGGCGGTGTATACCAAGGTCAACAAGGTGCGTTCAAAATCGTCCTGATGTAGGCGACCAATGTGATTTGAAAGGCCAGAGATGAGCCTAAATACATCTGTTAGCTTCCTGGGAATGATCTCCTCACATATGACTTCCATATTTCTTGTCTTGCGGAGGGAAGCAAGCTCAGCATCTTGCACCGAAAACGCTCCACTGGCCTCAAAATGTGTGCCTGCCAGCAGGATCTAGAAGAAGAAATGATCAGTGTCAATCTTTGAGGTTTAGTCAATGCTTTTGCATTTTAAAATTAAATTTCAGGACCTACTCATCTCACCTCAAATAATAAATGAACATCATCAAAGGAATTGTGGAAGTTGGGGTTCACCAGACTTTCCAACCCTCGCTTTATTCTGCGTGAAGCTGGGAATAGTGCTGTTTGAAAAGAGAAAAAGAATGAGAATGGTAGATAAGCAGGGACAGTTTCTTTGGCTAACCCTTTCGTTCTGGTTTCACTTTATGCTTTTATTGGGGATGATTTACTACTTAAAAGGCTTCTAGAACGTGTTAGTTGGACACTCCTGTGACATGCAGTTTAAACGAACTCTGCACTGCTCTGGCACATGTGATATCCAGGTGTCTCTTGCCCTCACCAGGACAAACTGCAGTTAATATAGAATATGCATTTCATACTCTACGGTCTCTGACCTTACAGATGACTTCTATCTGCAGGAGACGAGACTTCAAAGCCAGCAGAGGAATCAAAGGCGGAGTAACACACAGATCATACAACAGACTCCAGATGATTTTGGCATGCAGTGTATAGGGTTAGCATTTCAGCCTAATTTCCACAGCATGGGAAAGCAGGGTTTTAACCGCAAAAAATCTTCCATGGACAAAGAAAGCTCACAGGCAAATACCTTTTCCTTTACTTGTTCAGGATTGGAGCAAGAGGAAAAATGAACCATGCACAGACTTGAATACTAAATACTCTGCAGTCACATCACTTGAAAAACGAACTATACAGAAACAGAGCTCCAAAGGAAACAGTGTTATGGATTTATTGGCACCTAGTGGTCAGGTTGCAGATACAACCAACTGAAAACTCTTACTCTTACCTCCTCACCCATTAATTGCAGTCATTTATACTAAGAGAACACGGTGGATTTAAGATAATTTAACAATGGAATCTTGAAAGTCATTTGAAGTAATTCCATGGGGACCATGAATGTGAGTACCATAATATATATTCAAAAAGTTGATGTGACGTTACCCCATTTTTTATTTTGGTCTGAACAAATGTTGGTAAAAAACGATCAATTGATCTGGTAATGTTAGAGGAAATGTCAAGGAATCACCAAAGTCAGAGGGGTTGATGCTCTGGGGAAATATGCATGTCAACAATAATTGTTGAAGACACACCCATATCAAAGTGGTGGAACCACCGACCAATTGACAATACCTTTCATCAAGGTAAGGAGATTGGGGAAAGACAGAAAGAAATCAGACCACGGAGATATTTAGACAACTGTTTTCACTTACTGTCCAGTATCTCCAACATTTTTTGCTTGCTGGTTTTATTAATGCGTGTAAAATCTGGAGATCATGCAGTTAACATTTCAAATAGAGCATAGGCTTCAGGTTACAATTATGGGTTGATAAAAGGAGAACAGATGGAGATAAAAATGAAAGGAAGTCATAAAGATATAAATGCAGACAAACAGAACGCTACCCTTTCATGCAGGTATTCAGACCAGTGCTAAAGGGACTGAGACTCAACTGTTCTGTGTTGATATCATTCAACCTGCCAACGTGCAGAAGTAAAGATAGTGACCTGCTCATAGAGTGTTTATTCTTTTTAAAACGAGAAAATAAAAGGAAAACAGGAGAGAGGTTTTTGGAAGTTACTTAAGTAATCCATTAAATGTCTTAGCCAGAGTCAATTACCCAACTGCCAACCCTTTCGCTCTTGGCCGTGTCCTTGTTTATGCTCAAGTGCAACAAGTTGATTTTAGGCAGCTGCATTATCACATTTTCCAAACAAGGTTTACTTCTTATTTTTAGATAATTATCACAGATCTAAGTTCAATATAGCCAGTAAAGGTCTGCATTGATTTTTAGGATAATAATTTCTTGGAGTCCTCCAAATTACACTAAAACATACAAACAAAAATACTTGCTATATTTGACAAAGAAAACCTCCAACATCTTCAACTAACGTTTAAGGAATCCAAATTGAAAGGCATTGCTGTGTGTTAATCATTGGGAACAAATTGGATTAGCCACTTCACACACATCATTCATTGCCTTTATGCTGGACTTTTAAATGGTATTTGCAAAAGGTTAAACATAATGAAGACCATGAGATCTCTGTGTTTAGATCACATGGTTCCAACTCACATGCTTGTGATCCAGTTGGCAGTAAGAGGTAATTGTTTGGGAAACGTATCCACAAATCACTCAGTAAACTGCACACAGGGGTATGTTCACAAGCTGAACTCGTTATTAAAGGCGAGATATTTGGTTAAAAAAACACAATGGTGCTCTAGGAGGAGATTCAGGTGATAAGCGGGGGGGGGGGTTACCTTGGTTGGCTATTGGCTAATGGTTCAGAAAATAGTTATGACATCATAAAGTTCCTTAATCTGTGGGTTTTATATAAATGGATCAGGATAAAACATGTGCAAATCTTTTTTCCTGAAACTTCCAGAATCTCTTTACACACAGGAGACACAAGTTTATATATAAAATACATGAAAAAGTGGATTTTGCCTAATAGGTCCCCTTTAAAGGTCCAAATATGACCTGGTGATTCCAGCCTGTTTACGATGTGTGCAACACGTGTTTCTCACTGTTGCTTGGATTTCATTTTTGGAATTTCACTTCCTGTCAATGTAGAGGTGTCCACAGCCTAAATTGGAAAATTCTACGATCAGGATTGTAGCATTGCATCCATTATTGAATATTTGCCTCTGTTTATGTCTGTAAGTGTTTTTTTCAATAAGTGATAGGATCAATATCTTATGATTCTTATACAATCTAATCACAAATAGATCTTACTCTTTATGACAAAAAGAATTCCCTGAGCAGTCTGGATATCTCAATATGCTTTTCATTCACTTGAGGAATATGAGTTTCCTCTCTCATATCATCTCACTTTTGGACCCTCTCTTTGTTTTCATATTAGAAACAGGTGCAGATGACATATGAACCTAGTAGCTGGATGAGAGAAAAAGTACAATTGTAGTGACAACTTCAAAAACTAATATTTAACCTCCACAATATTGTTATTATTTTCTCCGGTATTTATTTGTAGCTCTGCTGTTTTAGATTCTTATTGAGTTCTTATTGACACAGAGGATAGACTCCTCAATACAAGGCAGTTTTGCTTTGCTGATATATGTCTGTCCAATACACAAAGTAATGTCATTCCTCTTCGTAAACTATGTTTGCTTGTACAATAATTTGGGAAACCTCAGAGTTCGGAAACTAAATAAAAAGATGACAATCTCTCTGTTTCGGGTTTAATATTAAAGTTCAGCAAAACCAAGGAGCAATGCACACAGTCAGACATACCTTCTCTATAAAAAAGTTGGGGCTTTAAAATGTAAAATGTATTGAAACATCTAAAAAGAGAACAGATAAATTACAAAATCCTATGTTGTCTGTCATACATTCTCCTGCATCCCAGACTTAGTTATCAACTTATTTGGATTGCTCCACAATTGAATTCTCACAATGAACTTACAGTGCTGCTAAATGTTCTCTTTGCTCTGTAAAGAAACATCTAGATAAAAAAAACATCTTCCACAAAACCTTCAGTTTGCAATTTTTGATCAAAATGCTGAGTTCAATCCTTACCTTTAGTCCGACTTCGTGAGACACCTGTTTCGATGCAGCTGTAGAAAATACCAACAATGACTATCTTCCAGGGCAGCATGTTGGCCTGATCACTTTCACGATCTTACTTGCATATAACTGGAGCTGACCTGGGCTCTTCACTTCCCCTAGCACTGCGTCTCTGCCTGTTAGCACTCCCTCCTGTTGCATTTCTCCTCTTCTCTTCACTGTGAATCTGCAGCCTCACATTAGACTCTACACCTTCTCCATCCTCCTGTTCACTCCCTCCGTCTGTCCTCAGGACTGCTCTGCTCCCCCTTCCATCCACATCTGATCTCACCCTCCCTCTCTCTCTTTCCCTCTCTGCTCTTCATAAGCTGAGACTCTCTTTTAAAGCTTTCAGCTGGTTGTCATCAGGGTCACAGACACACTCTTCTTTTAAAACCTTCTGCTCTCAGCGTTTACAGGTGAACATTAATGACACGTCTTTATCCCTCTCCTCTCTGCATTTCTTTTCTTCTGTTCATTGATTTGAAACAGCACTACCTTCATGTGCCTTGATCCTATCCTGTCAAAGGAGCTTTGCATTTTATGATTTCCACGATACATATATTTATTATTACCTATTTATTTTTGAATCTTTCTGATAAACTAAACTATGAAGTGTTAAAAAAAATCCATTCCTTCTTACAGTAAGTTTAATACACTATTGAAAAACCCTCTTGAATCAACCAGAAAATGCAAAATTTGAGGAACAAAGTCAAAAACAGGGCTGTTATTCTGAGCCCCTGAAAAGTGGATTATTTAGAGATATGAGGTTCTTACAGGACACCGATGTTACAAACGAAATTGCTATACATTAAATGACCTAACCATGTATAACTTAGCACCACCTTAGACATATACTGTACAACAGTAACATGCAAAAACATCAGATATCATTTAATGCAGTTCATTAGTTCCTGGTTTAAACTGTTGTTGAATTGCAACCAGCAAACAAGGTTATGTTCAGCTTTAGAATATGCTTAGATTTGAGATTTTTGGAACACAAAAACAAAATATAATAGTACTAAGGTTGATTGTCTTTGCTCCAACCTGTGGGCTAAATAACTGATCTCATGTTTATTGTCCCCTTGGATGTGTTTATGTGCCTTCATGGTCGAAGTAAGTTCTGTTTCTACCAACAGCGTGGTCCCTCAGCGGGTTGGAGCGTATGTGATGGTGCCAGGATGAACACCAGCAAACAGCTCTGCTTGTGTTCTTCAGGAGGACAAATGTGGAACATTTACACTCCTAAGTGATTATTTCTAATTATACAATGCACTCACCCTGTTGCACTGGACAGAGAGCATGTGCAGAAACCACAAAGAGAGACTTTGTTCACGGCTTGGCACAGTTCACCTTCTCCAAAAGCCTGAGGAACAGTTACCAAGAGTGCAACCATATAAAATAACTTGTATGTGTTTAACACTATTTTAAACCCATTTATTACATTTGGGTAAACACATGCTAATGCCAACGTGTGAGCAAATAGTTCAATCTCCAAAAGGTCCTTTCCACACATCTGGCCCTCGGGAACTCACATGGGCTTCTGTGGAAGTCAACATGGGACAAAGCTACGCCTCAGATTAAGATGGAGCAGTCGTGCTGCTGCAGAGGAATGCAGACACAGGCTGTGCTGAAACTGGCAAAAGACATGTGGCCACTGTGAAAGCTCCAATAATTACAGCTTGCAGGGACTTGAACCAACATATTATTCTTCCAATGAGTAAATTCAATGATAATGTTGCTGTAGGCAGTATCCCAAATATTTTCCTCTCTAAAATTGGTGTACTTACTGAGGTGGAAAGTGTCCCATGCTAAGACTGAGTTTGTGTTTTTGCTTGTATTGAATAAGAACACTCCTGATCAGTGATAATGTGTCAATAATTATAATCACAGGGGCTTGATTTTTCACACCCGCACTTCTTTGAACAAAAAAATGTTGGCTGAGCTGAGGAGAATAACAGTTTATGACAGGAGACAGGACATGCCTGTGGACTGACAATAGTCCACAAAGTTCTGACTGTCATATCCTGCTGAATATTTGCACTCAAAGATTTGTCAAGATGGCAGTATTTTCCCCTGGCGTTTCCCGCTCTCCCTTTGTCTTCTGTGCTCCCCCTGTCTGTGTCGAAATATGACCATGTTATTTATCAATTCAAATGAATTATTTATTGCGTTTACTGTTCGAGAGAAATGCACAGATGAACAGTATTCTACATTGGCAACCATTTCTTATATGAGCTTACTGTGCCTACGCAACTGCCCCACAATGCATTGCGTATGGGAGCAGGTTTTCAGCCAGGCAATCATTTGTTAATATGTCACTTTATTATGTTTTAATGTGTTTTCATGTGAGAAAGTGACCATTAAGATTTCCAATATGTAGTCAGTTAATGCACATTTCCTGTTAGGAAATTAGCTGTGATGTTCTAGATGAGAGAGCTGCTGGCATGTTGCCCTGGCATAAGTCATGTGAGTTTTCAGCCAGGCTAAAAGCTGTTAATATGTCACTTTTATTAAGTGTTTATATGTTTCCAAGCAGGAAAGTACACATTTGGTCAATGTATCCAAACAACGCCTAATTGTGATGTAATATGTGACTACAGAGGTAACTCAGATCCCGAACTTGTTGTTTGTTTCCTTTTTTATTTTTAGATGTTTTATTTTTAATTTTTTTAATTTATTTTGTATTGACAATTATTTTACAAACCATCGTTTGTAACAGTCCAACGTGTGACTTGGTGTTGATAGAGTGCAAACATACAAACAACAAAATAAAAATTAAATGTTTTTGCTTTACGAAAATGTGCGGATCCTATTCAAGCAACATAAATAAGTTCAATAATGACAACACTTTCTGGGTGTTTTTGTCAGTTATGTATTGGAGCGATTTTCCAAAAGCTTTCAGATCATTCTTCCATCCGTTGATATTATTTTGAGATGTTGCCCACCTGATTCGTGTTTGTTTTTACTTCCTGCCTTGTGTTTTCCTGCCTGTTTTGTGTTTTTTGGTACCAGCTTTATTTTTTTAAGCTCTTTTTTTTCATAACCCCCTTCCCTTTCTTTGTTCTGCGTTTTGGTCCTGCCTTCCTTACCACCACCTTGTGACAGTGGAGGTTGCCTGCAAGCACTTCCCCTCAGCCCGTTTATCCTGAAAATGTCCCCTATCTGTCCTGCTTCATAGCCTGCTATCCTCAAATCTACACTCCGGTCTATGAGCCTAAGGTTTGGGAGCTGCATCCCTCGTCACTGATGCTGCTCGCCCGACGGCCTCCTCCCTTCAGGTGGCCTGTGGTGCCCAGACTCGTGGTCGCCCTCAGGTCCTGCTCCGCCCATCGGCCCTGCCATCTGGCCATCCTTCTGAAATGCTCTGCCTGTCTGCTTTTCCTTAGGCGATACTTTCTAGGTTCCTGACTCTGCTCTTCATCTCTCAGACACGTTGACCCAAACTTGAAATCAACTTTTTTTTTCAACATAGCGGTTTTGATGTTTTCCAAAGGATCAAAAATATTTCTTCCAACACTGACAGGAAACGTGTAAGTGACTTTGGAAACAGCATAAACCTCTTTCATGGCAGGCTCTTGAACATGCCACACACAGGTGTAACTAATAACATAAATTATGGCTGCATTCCAGCTGGTGTGACAGTGGGTCGTTACATTGAGCAAATGAGCATGCTGGCTTCATTACATGTTAACACCTGTGCTTTTCCTGCCATGAGAGAGAGAACACACTTTCAAACATTATCATTGGAATAATTATCCAAGCATTGAAGTAATGTGCTCTCTGTCAAAGCTTAAACACACATGAATAGAAAAACTGTAGTATATAAAATCAGGTAATATAAAGACACATTTATAACTAGCTAATGCATTCACAGGATGGTTAGCAACAACAACAGCTGCTTATTTAAAAATAAAAAATCTGATAATAAAAAAGCTGTTTATATTCCTATAATATGTTTCACATGAAAAAAAATTCCCTTGTAATGGGGAGTCCTATACAGCATTCAGAACAGTATAGTGTCGCAATAAACGCAATATAAAGATTTTTGATCAGAACAGAATAGTGTCTTCTTTGGCTGTGAAGGACCTTTGACCTTTGTTTAAAAAATATGGTGACATATTAAAAAATATGTCACCTGTTTTATGACAGAAAGTTACAAACTTTCAGCTTGGAGTTTGCAAGATGTGCATGTTTATCAGGTAGGAAGTGTTATATGAAAGACAATTGCATTATGGTAAATCTAGAAACCAGTGTTTTTTGGCACACTGCATTGTGAGAAACAGCATTTCGATCTCCCTGTCTGTATCACACAAACAGAACATTGACAATAAAGTTGACTTTGACTGACTTTGACTAAGGTCTTTCACCCCCTGCTGCTGTAACTTTGAACATACTTTACTGTTTTTTTTAACATGCCTCCCAACTTCATCGAAATGGAGTTCCCCTGTAAAGATATCTATGGCTAACAAATATACTTCACTTCAATCTATAAGGTAACATGAATAAATGTAGCCTAATGCTGATTTATCAAACTTTACCAATGTCCTGATGCAAAAATACTGAGAACACATTACTCATTATGCATAATAATGGGATATGCCCTGACCGTTTTAAAAAGCTATGTAATATGTATACTTATCCACTAGATGGCCCTATTTGTCTGCATTTACTTTCATTCACTTCAGTCTCCCTCAAGGCGATGGACAACTCAAATAAAAGTTATTATAAAAATAAGCACCAACATGATGAATTAGGAAATGGGTTATTGATGTTAACATGCAACATTTATTTTTAAAATACCTCTCAACTAGGGAAAGAGTTGAACCTCTGAATAACTTTCTAAACACACAACGTTGGCAAGCCATTATATCAGTTTCACATCAACACATCAGCATTTTCTCTGCCAGAGTTTGGAGATTCTGTACACAGCATCCACACACCCTGGGAAGTCGCCACTTCACAGCCTGATACTGAAGAATTCCCAGATTTTCCACAGACCATCTGTCACCACTATGCAGTTATATTGTGTACTGCTGTCTTCAGGCCAAACCTAGTTTATGATCCGTTCAGCCACCCTTCTGTTTTGGAAATGAATACTAAGTTAAAAAGAAACCCCCCCTAGTGTCAAATATCTGTTACATTGGGCTTTAATGGTAAAATAACTCGTATTTTTAACTTAATTAACCTGTTGAACCCCATCCCCCCGCCCCCGGGCGGTAAAACGCATAATCTGCAGGAAACAGCGTCTGAGGGCTTCTT